AAAAAAAAAAAAAAAAAAAAAAAAAATAGCCCAAGGAAAAAAAGTAGAGGAGGCAAAGGAAAAGTAGGAAGAAGAAAAAGCTAGTTTGTACCACGAGGTGCTCACCTAAGTAAGGTGCGACGTTTGGAAAAGATTCAAACTTCCAGTTGATCATTTCGTGATAGTTTTGTTTCAAGCACGCTGAGAAAAATCCCAAAACAGCACGCCTCCTATTGTAATGCAACTGGCCTAAATTGATCACACATTCAAAGCTTCGATCTAAGTTATTCCATGCATTATTCCTTCACAGCAGTATGCTGTTATTATATAAAATATAAGTCTTCCTTATACCTGACTTCCAGCACGCCATGAAAACTCTTTTCTCGTGCTCAGTGATCACCCAGGAAAAAACTATTCAAAGAAAATGTATTAAATCTGACAAAAATGATGACTGACTTAAAGAAAAAGGCGCCAAAATGTTTACAAAATTTCAATCAACAAAATGATTATTTTTTAAAGACTCAATGAAGATGATGTCTTTTATAACTTTTGATTAACGTTCCTGTTTTTAACTCAACACACTCCCGTGGCTTTTCTGCACGTTTTCAGTTCTCATTGTTTTGACATTTCTGAGAACCAGCTTCTTTAAAGACAAAGAAATGTTTTTCAATAGAAAATAAACCGGTTCTTTCTGTTTAACATCCTGTTGACTGAGCTAAGTTGATTATCATATGTCTACAGTATTGGTATTCGCATTTGTGAAAGGAAGAATCCCTTTAACGGCTTCTTCAGTGGGCACATTTTCCATTGATTTCGAACTCTTAATCCAAAGTAAGGTTAGTAACATTATATTTTTAGTACAACAGGGCTGTTAATCATGTTATTAGTCAAATATATAAGCAGAACTAACACAAATAATTCAAAAACAAAGCAAGAGAGGTTCTACTGTAGAACCATATGAAGCGCAGAAAATATTCGAATCTGTAGGCGAATTTTAGTGGTGTTACAGATGTCGACTCGATATATAGAGCTTTAGTTATTGTATTAGTTCGTCAGAACCCTCCGCAAAAACTAAAACGCTCAGTTTGAATTCGATATTATCTTTAAGTTAGCCTTGCCCTGACTTAGATCAGCCCAGAGGTTGTTTCAGGGTTTGATCTGTGAGTTAGCCGTGCCCTGACTTTGATCAGCCCAGAGGTTGTTTCAGGGTTCAATCTGTAAGTTAGCTGTGCCCTGACTTAGATCAGCCCAGAGGTTGTTTCAGGGCCTTCGTTCTGTGAGTTAGCCATGCCCTGACTCTGATACCTTTTATTCAGCTCAGAGGTTGTTTCAGGGCATCAATCAAATTTCAGGCTATCAATCTATCAAATTTGAAGGATTTTTTCTAGATTTCCATCGACATTGTCTTACATTTTAATTAATCTTTTTCAATGCAGCAATGAATAGAAATTTGCCAACTTGTGCCGTGTTGTCTAAATCAAAAAACTCTCTTGCATGACTCTCCATCGTCCCGTGGTATATATCCTAGTATAGGAACTGCTATTTTCATAGTCTACTCGTATGTGCATCTATTTCGTCTGTCTATGAAGCGGGGTCTCAATAAACGGACTGAAATGCGAGGTTAACATGAAAATACCAAAGAAATCACGCTATTTCTCGATGGAATTTGTGGCATTTCTTTCGTATTTTCATTTAGTACAATTTTAAGAAGGGTGCATTAGCCACGGCAAAAAATCAAAAAACATGCCCGGCAGTAGGTCATGTCAGTTGCAATAAGAATATAAAACTCATAAAAAATCGTGCCACTGTTATCAAGCGCTTATTAGAAACGTTTCGGCTTTCTTTAATTTTCATTTGATGGCCTTGAAATTCATTGTAAATATTCTCGATTCTGATTGGCTACTAGCATGCACGTTTTCTCAGATTGACCCTCATCGTCATGGAAACAGCAGCTGTTAAGGAGCCTCAAATACGGTCATCAAGGTTGTTAGCCATATCATTTATTTAATACCTGGAGTGCTGATTAAAATTAATGGAGTTTATTTAATTTACTGCTAAAACCGGATAAATGACCTATATAAATGGCTCGTAGATTTTTAGTTTTAACTATAGTAGCGTCACGCCCAGACCCTAAAAAACAAAATTTTAACGAATTCTGGGCTGTTCGAAGTCAGGGCACAGTTAACTCACAGATCGAATTGGAATTTAGCGCTTTAATTTTAGGTTTTGCGATGAGAGGAAAACCGGATATCTGGAGAAATCCCCTCGAAATGATTAAGTGAGAGACCCAAAGGCAAACTTTACTCACTTGTGATGCGGAATACAGGAATCGAACCCGCGAGACCCCAAAGGTGAGAGGCGAGTACCACAGCTGTGCCATTCTAGATTCCCTAAAGATAAATGCAGTTTTCAGGATCATTTGGAATCCTTAAATCCAATTAATATGATGATGAAACGTGTGCGTGATAGCGTGTGGCTTATGATGTTTAAGCAACGGATGTATTCGCCAGGAGCCACAATTACCGGGTATTTAGGGATGGACCATGCATTAGATAATTGAGAGAGGGCTGCAGGAATTTGTGTTGCACTATGTTTTTTTCTTTCTTTCTTTCTTTCTTTCT